ATTCATGGGGTCACAAAGAGTCGGACACGACTTAATGACTGAACAACAAAAACATTGAGATATTCTCCTATTCAATTTGTGTCATGTAAGCTTTCCAAATATTTATTCATTTATTTATTTATAAATCATATTTATTTGACCACCCATCTCACAGAATGTGACTCTGGGTGGTGTACAATAAAATATATATAAAATATAGTGCTCTGACATGTACTGTATTTTACTTTCACAGTAGGCTTGAAGTGTGGCTAGGAATGACCTCATTCAAACCTAGTATTGATCATTATAGGCTTTCCTTTGGCCCAAAGGAAAGCCTATAATGATCAATATTAGGTTTGGATGAGGTCACACCAATGCCACACCAATGTCATACCTTACTGCCCTTAACACTCCCTTATGGTGGGGAGAATTTTCCTGGTCATAATAACCCACATATCATATAATTTCTTTAATTAAGTCTTATTGTCAGTCAAGTACTTTGATAAATCTCTAGGGCTGCTAATGGCCATAAACAATTGTTTTGTTGAGAATAATAGGAGAGAAAAAGATCAGAATCCAAGCTATATAAACATACGTTTTATCATTTCAGTACCAGGTCAAAGCATCTTTTATATTCTTATGCTTTTAAAAATTAAAATTTAAAAGAGTTTGGATTTATTTTTATGCTGCTTTTTACATTTCTGATTGTGGACTATATATTTACCTTGTTTCTCTACTTTATTTGTAAACTATTCTGAAATTGTGTATTGAAGTATTGTATAGAAATTCATAAATACATAGATTATAATAGCAATTCATACCTTCTCAAGATTGGGTCTGGCCCAGATTCACTTTGGGAAAACATTACTTATTTTGCCATCAAATATTACAATCTCTGCTGGGCCAATGGAATTATCCAGCACCACTCTGTTGCCCCTGATAGTCATAATTTCGGACCCCACTTCCACTTTGGTTGGCCCTTTGTTAAAATTAAAAAAGGAGAATTTAGTAATAAAGAAAAACAAAGATACCTGCATTTCTTCTGAGTGTACTCTTTCTATTAAATACAAATGTATGCTAAAGTTTAGGCACTCTGGTCAAAGGTATATTTCAATGAATCCCTAAGCCAGTGTTGTCCAAACTTGGCCACTTTAAGATGAGTGGACTTCAACTCCCAGAATTCCCCAGCCAGCAATCTTTCAACCAGAGAGATTCATATCCAGTAACCTGCAGGGCAGGGCCTCTGAAAATCCTTGGTGTCCCCAGATTACAACTGCCACCCACCCCATCTGCCCTGGAGTTGTGGGTGGTGTCAGACTTGAAACATAGACAGAGATATCTCCAAGAGGGGAACTTCTCCCTGTAAGTCTATCCAAGTCTTGGTTATGCACACCAGATTGGCTGCCTCATCCACAATTAAGTCATGGATGAGGAAGGTCTTATTACATGCCAACAACAGCTGGAGTCCAGGGCTATCAAAGAGTTGATAACCTGGCCTTCAAGATGAATGCTGAGGGCTGAAGGCTGAAGGCAGGACAGGTCTCAGCCACTGGACCTGTTGTCCCCATGAGCAGCCTGCCTTCAGCCTCCTATTGTATTCTCTGCAGCTTATCACAGCTATGACAGAACTACCTGCCCTCTGCCCCCCCCCAGCTCCCCCCAGGCATACAGCCAATCTAGCACTCATCCAATCATCCCGCACTCACACCTGACACCACCCAGCAACCACTCAGCTGTTCATTGGGGGCCCACCAATGTAAGCATCACATTCAATCAATCAAACACTTTCACCACCCAACTGCACCCATCCACTGCTCTACCCTTCCCATCTTGGATTCCTAACAACCAGTCTACAAAGTTTGCAATTAGCACCAGTACCAGTTACTCCCTGAGGATCCAGTCATACAGGAACTGAAAATATAAAAGCCAACAACCAAACAAAGCTGTAGCAGCAAGATGAACAATGCCTAGAGGGCAACACGCTAGGGCAGCTGCAGGGCTCAGTATGATAACCACAATCCCTCAACCTGGCCCCTCATCCCTTCTGCTGCAACCACAGGCCACTGATCTCTACAGCTGTGCAGCAGAAAGTCCATGGATTCTGAAGAGTCAGCAGCATCCAATCAGCAAGACTGTCCTGACAGAAAGATGGGGGGGGGGGGAATCACCAGTCATAGCCCCACTCCACAACGACAGTTAAGCACAGAGGAGTACCAGATAATGCCCTACTCCAGAGACCAGTTCAAAGACAGCTGGCCAGAAAACCAACAGCACCAAGATAGGCAGTCAGCAAGTCAGTCAGCTGGCCTCACCAGACTGCTCCTGACTAGTGCTCACTTCCCATTGTCATCACCATCGCTGCTGCTATCACCATCAGTGCTTCTAAAAAGCCCATGGAGCTGGGCACTGCTGCTACTGCTGCTTTTGGGTATTCTTTGGCTTTCTCAATAATCCAGCGTGCATCAGCAATAATATTTTGTTTGTTGTACGCTGCCCAGAGTCACCTGTGGTGAGATGGGAGGCTATATAAATTGGTTTAATAAATAAATAAATAATAAATAAATATTTCACATTCCTCAGCCTTTTCTAAAAACATCTTGAACATCTGGCATCTGTAGGGCTGTAATCTGCATTGGAAAATCCTAAGCATTGGTTTGCCAGCATGCGAAATTAAGGATATTGTGCGACAGTTTACATATTCCATTAGATCTCCTTTCTTTTGTATTGGTATGTAGACTGATCTCTTTCAGCTGTGCACCATTCCGTCATTCTCCAGATATACTGGCATAGTCTGGTTAGAACCTTTAATGATTCTTCTTTTTTAAAAAATGATTTTATTAAGAATTATAAATCAAAAGAATAAAAGCCAATAAGGCTACAAAAAATACAAACAGAAAAATACAAAAGAAAAGAAAAAAGTGTGAAAAAGAAAAAAGCAAAGAAAAGTAGAAAAAGGAAAAGAAAGAAGAAAAAAGAAAGAAGTAACTTCCCCCTTCATCCCAGCAAGTAAGGACAATTTTAATGGCTGATCACTATCTCTAAATACAACATAATCTTTCTTCACCCCATATCTCATCTATTGAAATAAAAAAACAAAAAAACAAAATCCAAATGCTTCGCCAGTTGTTCTTTATCTGAATATGTCCAATAAGGGCCACCAGATGTAACTATTTTTCTCCAGAAATAACTGGATTGGCAGAAACAAATAAGCCATTCTCTGTTTCATTTCTGTTTCCTAGGCCATACACAACTATGTTTTCTTCCTTAGTATTGTCAGCTTTGGCATTCTGGCTTCCAGCCACAAGCAGTACATCTTCCTTCTTTGCAAGTTCTGTCAATTTCAGGCTGCACTTGACTATAAAACCCATCACCCTCCTCTTCTTCTGCCACAGTGGTTGAAGCATGAACTAGCATAAGCATCTTATTAAAGGATTGTCCACAAAATCTAATTGATCTTATTCAGTCATTGACTGACTGTGCTCAAGTACTTTATTTGTTATATCCTTCTGGATTATGGAAGCAATTCCATTTCTTCTGTGTTCTGAGTAGAAACAATATAATCTTCTGACTGAAAGTGTCCAATTCCAATCCATTTCAATTTTGCTGATATCTGAAATATCAGTGTGTAGTCAGTTCATTTCATCTTTCACTGTGTTGAGTTTTCCCATGTTCATGCCTCTTACATTCCATGTTCCCACTGTTATTCTATATTTGGAGCTTCAGATTTTCTTTTCCTGCATAGCAACATCAGCAACTAGTTGTCCTGGAGGGTTTAATCTAGCTGTGTCATAAACACCATTGGTACTCTGAAATACCTTAATATAAGGACTCTCAAGGAGAACTTATTTCCACTCTCTTCTACTTAATGTGCATGATGGGACTGAAGAATTCTGTGTCTAGATCTCCTCATAGACAGCCATCTAGAAAGAACACTGTACCACATCTTGCCATATTCATCAAATGATAGTTATGTCAATCTAAGTTCGGCTGTTTGCTCTGTAGGTTAATTAAACTGAATGTATTTTCAATATGTTTCTGATCAGTGATCATAATTCAATGAGCTGTTTTCATTTCTTGTAAGACTTGTTTTTAGAAAAATCAAATGCTTTTATATAACTGGAGATAGAAAATCTGTGTTTTATAACCAATTTCTTTTCATTTTGTTCAACAACAACAGCTGTAAACATTGGTAAAATGAGAGAAGTGTGGTCTCCCATTTTCTATGTAATAACTTCCAGGGGGAAACTATATTATCATCAGTCAGTTTTTAAAATAAGAAGATATTATTGAACAAGGAACAATTTCTAAGTGTCTTATTATGATATAAAGAACATCCTGAAAACATAGGAGTGGAGCAACATTAAGAGTCACTTCCCCCCCCCCCTTGATATAAGGAGGGAAATACTGATTCTTTTGTTTTCAAATAGCTCCTGATCCTGCTCATTCAGGAGAAAACCACTAATTTACCCAAATGGAGTTCTGCTGGTTGCCCCCTAGCTTCATCCAGTAAGGTAGTTTGCATGTGGATGCATAATTCCAAGTAGGATATTATTTTGGCAATGAGTATTAACATTTATACTTCTTGTTTTGCATGTAATATGGTGATAATGAGTACAAAGCCAAATAGACATCTGGAGCCACTGGCTTTTAGCTATGTTAGCCTGTCTAGTTTTGGGAAAATTAAATATAACCCTTAGAACTTGCTAATATTTCATAATGTCAAAATTAGCATGTTGAGATTGTAGCCACCATGGACAACTAGGACCTCGAAGTGGCATAGGATATAGCAGGGTTCCTCAACCTTGGCAACTTGAAGATGTG